AGGTAGAGATCTCACCACCTCAAGGTATGGAAGCTGTGGGCAGCAGCTACGTACTGTTGTAGCACGGTGTCATGGTGGAGTGGTAGAGTGGCGGTGGTGGTAGGTAGAGATCTCACCACCTCAAGGTATGGAAGCTGTGGGCAGCAGCTACGTACTGTTGTAGCACGGTGTCATGGTGGAGTGGTAGAGTGGCGGTGGTGGTAGGTAGAGATCTCGCCACCTCAAGGTATGGAAGCTGTGGGCAGCAGCTACGTACTGTTGTAGCACGGTGTCATGGTAGAGTGGTAGAGTGGCGGTGGTGGTAGGTAGAGATCTCACCACCTCAAGGTATGGAAGCTGTGGGCAGCAGCTACGTACTGTTGTAGCACGGTGTCATGGTGGAGTGGTAGAGTGGCGGTGGTGGTAGGTAGAGATCTCACCACCTCAAGGTATGGAAGCTGTGGGCAGCAGCTACGTACTGTTGTAGCACGGTGTCATGGTGGAGTGGTAGAGTGGCGGTGGTGGTAGGTAGAGATCTCGCCGCCTCAAGGTATGGAAGCTGTGGGCAGCAGCTACGTACTGTTGTAGCACGGTGTCATGGTGGAGTGGTAGAGTGGCGGTGGTGGTAGGTAGAGATCTCACCACCTCAAGGTATGGAAGCTGTGGGCAGCAGCTACGTACTGTTGTAGCACGGTGTCATGGTGGAGTGGTAGAGTGGCGGTGGTGGTAGGTAGAGATCTCACCACCTCAAGGTATGGAAGCTGTGGGCAGCAGCTACGTACTGTTGTAGCACGGTGTCATGGTGGAGTGGTAGAGTGGCGGTGGTGGTAGGTAGAGATCTCACCACCTCAAGGTATGGAAGCTGTGGGCAGCAGCTACGTACTGTTGTAGCACGGTGTCATGGTGGAGTGGTAGAGTGGCGGTGGTGGTAGGTAGAGATCTCACCACCTCAAGGTATGGAAGCTGTGGGCAGCAGCTACGTACTGTTGTAGCACGGTGTCATGGTAGAGTGGTAGAGTGGCGGTGGTGGTAGGTAGAGATCTCACCACCTCAAGGTATGGAAGCTGTGGGCAGCAGCTACGTACTGTTGTAGCACGGTGTCATGGTGGAGTGGTAGAGTGGCGGTGGTGGTAGGTAGAGATCTCACCACCTCAAGGTATGGAAGCTGTGGGCAGCAGCTACGTACGGTTGTAGCACGGTGTCATGGTGGAGTGGTAGAGTGGCGGTGGTGGTAGGTAGAGATCTCGCCGCCTCAAGGTATGGAAGCTGTGGGCAGCAGCTACGTACTGTTGTAGCACGGTGTCATGGTGGAGTGGTAGAGTGGCGGTGGTGGTAGGTAGAGATCTCACCACCTCAAGGTATGGAAGCTGTGGGCAGCAGCTACGTACTGTTGTAGCACGGTGTCATGGTGGAGTGGTAGAGTGGCGGTGGTGGTAGGTAGAGATCTCACCACCTCAAGGTATGGAAGCTGTGGGCAGCAGCTACGTACTGTTGTAGCACGGTGTCATGGTGGAGTGGTAGAGTGGCGGTGGTGGTAGGTAGAGATCTCACCACCTCAAGGTATGGAAGCTGTGGGCAGCAGCTACGTACTGTTGTAGCACGGTGTCATGGTGGAGTGGTAGAGTGGCGGTGGTGGTAGGTAGAGATCTCACCACCTCAAGGTATGGAAGCTGTGGGCAGCAGCTACGTACTGTTGTAGCACGGTGTCATGGTGGAGTGGTAGAGTGGCGGTGGTGGTAGGTAGAGATCTCGCCACCTCAAGGTATGGAAGCTGTGGGCAGCAGCTACGTACTGTTGTAGCACGGTGTCATGGTAGAGTGGTAGAGTGGCGGTGGTGGTAGGTAGAGATCTCACCACCTCAAGGTATGGAAGCTGTGGGCAGCAGCTACGTACTGTTGTAGCACGGTGTCATGGTGGAGTGGTAGAGTGGCGGTGGTGGTAGGTAGAGATCTCACCACCTCAAGGTATGGAAGCTGTGGGCAGCAGCTACGTACTGTTGTAGCACGGTGTCATGGTGGAGTGGTAGAGTGGCGGTGGTGGTAGGTAGAGATCTCGCCGCCTCAAGGTATGGAAGCTGTGGGCAGCAGCTACGTACTGTTGTAGCACGGTGTCATGGTAGAGTGGTAGAGTGGCGGTGGTGGTAGGTAGAGATCTCGCCGCCTCAAGGTATGGAAGCTGTGGGCAGCAGCTACGCCCTGTGTTACACCCACTTCGTCTTGTAACCGGCTTTCAGCTCTATATAGACTTATCTTTTACATTACCCTTATTACATTTCCTTAGTTACTTTATGTACAACTACTCCCGTCCGTCTCGTTTGCAGTACATTCACGCCAACGTAGGAATCTTATTTGAAATGTTAGTACATTTTTGACTATTTGAATACCAGGATTTATGTCATTTTTATCCACTGTTAGTCTACACCAATAGAATAATAATTTTAATAATATTACTTTAAACTCAAAGATCAATTATGAATATAGGGTTTTCGTTTGATTTCCTTATTAGGCATTGGTGTAACGTATCTTAATATTTGTTTAAAACTCCTGACTGTTTAATATTGAGTATGGTGCCCTGAATAAAAATTATTCTGTGAAAAAGTGTTAACTATTAAATTGTTACTGGAATTTAACTCAGAATTTGGTTTAAGAAAATGTTAAGGTATATAGTGTAATGTTTCTCCATATATATAATATGTCTAATGTTTTTGTTGTATGTGTTCAATCATACTGCTCAATACCAATTAAATAGGGTAAAGGACCCAATCAATTACAAGTTACACCTGCAAACACAAACACGTTCGTTGGTATTCAACTTGTTGTAACGTCTCCTTTATTCCTGGCAATATTTAGGGTAAACCCTCGGTTGAAAGGGGTTTACATTTTGTTTTTCCACACGGAATAGTCTACGTTGTCCACAGGAGTCGTCCTCGGTTGATGTAGACTCCGGCACGCGTCCCCACGGCGACCGCAGAACGGCTCGGGTATCCCATCAGACCGGTCGTTCGACCACCACACTCCACTACCACTACCATCCGACATTCGACACTCGACACTACCCCACACTTTCTCTGAAACCCGTTCCATCTGAAACCTATCCGCCACGTTTAACTGGGTTATTTATAACGTACCCTGCCAGTTCGGGTCAAAATATATCATCATGAAGTTTGGAACAGATTTACCATGATATAGATAGCATCATGATGGTTATAGAGCGATCAGAAGGTGGGAGTTTGATGCTAGCGGGGTTAAATAGTTTTTTTTATATGCTCAAATATGTAGCCAGATGTCATTGATCATTGGACTATCGTTTATGTTTTGGGGATAAACATCACCTGGTTTTCAGTCAGTAACAAAGCTACAAAATGCATCTGGTCCATTTCACACTCATTTTATAGCCATGCTTGGCTAAATATGCTTAATATAGTTAATTAATATAATATCAAAATTATACTGTCTCAATAGACCGTCCAGTCCGTCGTAATGGGGTGGAAAGGTACGAACTAGAAAATATACTCATGAAGTGGACGACAAAAGAGGTTAAGAACGTCAAAGATCAAAGCTACAACAGTATAAATGAAAAATACCCCCCGCCGCAGCAAACCTGCAGACTAAGCGAATTTCCATTTGCCTGATTGGATTTAGACTAAAATGTCGCCTTAAAAATATCACATTTATTCCCTATTTAAATAGAATCAGTTTAACACATACTTAGGTTTGCTGCAACAGGGAGGGTAAAAGTGTTTTTTTTTTGTAAAATGTTAATAGTTAGTAAGAAATAAAAAACATTTTCCAAATTTGGGCAAAATATGTTAATAAACAAGCACACTACAACGGTTTACTTATTCTCCATAAGAATAACATGGGAATTTTAAATTAACAATTTTTTGGAATTTTCTCCGTAACCATTAGGCGCATTATAACGCTTCAATATACTAAATTATTTGTTTTTTTAAGCTCTACAAAATAGTTTGGAAAGAAATTTCAAAATTTTATGTTTTTTGGGTCAAAAATAGGAAAAACCCATTTTTACCCCATAAAAGCCCCCATAAACCCCTGTTCCTATGGTCCGATCATGCTGGTTCGCGAACTCGTTCGAATAAACGTAGGTTTACACGTTTGTACCAAATTTCATCAAAATCGGATCGTTTTTGCTCGAGTTATCGCGCTAACGGACACACACATATATATATATATATATATTTATACGGTAATAGCTTATTCCCTATATGGGAAATTCGCTAAAATACATGTGGATCTATGATGTAGTAGTACAGTACATCTAAAGTAGATCTAAATTTTAATTTGGAAATGCAAATAATTCTTATTATCAGAAAGGAGAAGATTATTATTGTGAAGGTTACACAGATCAATTTCTCTGGTGGTAATACTAAATAACCGTTAATGCAATATTGTAGAACCGACATTAGATGGTAGACCGAATGAATATTTTTATATGCAGGGGTTTTTTAACGCAATCCAAATAATTACAACTACGTGAAGTGAGGCCCTTTTCAACGAAACCCCAGTTACTACGTGGATATCCCTGTTTATGGACAGCTAATTTTATGCATTTTTGCTTGAACATCTACAAGGTTTAAGGATCGATTCTATTATCTAACGGTACTTGTAATTTAGGTTGCGTTAAAAAGACACCCTGCATTTTACCACCAGTCATTTGTAGCCTACACAACTCACGAGTATTAAATGTACTAAATACCGTAGTTAGCTTTGAATAGTGCAAGTGAGTATGTTTAATCAACCAATATTCATTAACACATCCTGAAAAGTTCAATTATAAGCGTATTTATTTATAAAGAGCGTTGATGAAAAAGGTTGGCAGCTATTTAATGTGTATTATGAGTAGTTTATTTGTATCACCCTAAGGTTTAAACAGAACTTACTCAGTGTCTTCTACTTAACTCCTAATGGCTAAAACATTTTTCATTTGTATAATAAGAAGTTTTTCTATGCCACGCTCAGATTTAGCAATGTGAAAGAAATGTGTCAATGTCTTCGACTCACCTCCCAGTGGCTAAAGACTAGCTGTGGACTCGCCAGTCCTGAAGTTTGTTTCCTCATCTCCGGAGCGAACAAGAAACTCTCCACCACAGGCAACACCGCTTCCACCGTGAACGAGGCGGAGCCCTGGGTCATGTCCCCGTGGAGGATTCTGCCATGACGACGGCCCAGAACCGCATACATCTTACCTGCAGCAAAAAGTAAAGAAATGAATAACGAAATATAGAACCCACGGTGCAGATCACAGTAACCCGACGGACCAATGACTTCATCCTCGCCCTCCAGTTGAGTATATGGAGAATTAATCAGAAGAGTTATGTGAATATAGAACATCAAATTGATCATGAAATAAGTAAAAACTAAAAAGTTGATGGATGAAAAGGAGACTTTGGAGAATGGGAAAAGGACCACATTCAGAGGGAATGAGTTAGATTTAGGATTAAAGAAGTAACTCAAATAAAAAAAATAAAAAAACACCTAGAACAATTATGCAGAAATGGAAAAATAAATAAAAGCAAAAACATTGGTGCAATAGGCACATGGAAAACAGAAAAAAACATCTATTTAGGAAATATAATGGCATTATGTAACAGTTTTTCTAGGTCGGGAAGATTTTTGGAGTTAGAGTTGTATTCATACATAACACGTATACACTCAATGTCCCAGTAAAATTCATTTCTAGCCAAATTTTGTTTTCAATATGTGATACTGTTACACACATATTTAAAAAAATACTGTTCTATAGTAAACATTTATCAAGAGCTGTCTACAAAAGACGATTTTGCAGCTGCATATCACCTGTTATCCACCACATTCTACAGTTTGCAACGGAAATCACCCTACAGATGAAATACGCTGAAGTGGTATAGAGTCATAAAGTACAATATCAAGTACAAGTATTTGTGTAGGCGATAACTCCTAGTGACAAAGACAATCCTTTCCTCCATTCTCCCAGCAAGTGCAGACCTTGCCCTACACACCATGGTCACTCACTGCCTACAGCACATTCTCTTTGACAATAGACACAGGTGGTTGATGATTCCTGCCCTCAGGATACAACAATAGTCAACACCATTCCTCAGATAGGATTGTGTCAACGGAAATCTTCAAAGCTATATCTAGATCTTCAGTTTGTTAGTCCTGACAGAGACATTTCTTCGATATAATTTCGCAGCTAAAGTTTTAAACTAAGAACATCATCAACATTTTTACACTTTTCGTAAAACCAAAACCAAAAATATTTTTTTTTTCTCAGCTAAAGTTTTAAACTAAGAACATCATCAACATTTTTACACTTTTCGTAAAACCAAAACCAAAAATATTTTTTTTTTCTCAGCTAAAGTTTTAAACTAAGAACATCATCAACATTTTTACACTTTTCGTAAAACCAAAACCAAAAATAATTTTATTAGTAAACATAATTCGTTTTTCAAGAGAAAACTGACGTTGATGAACTAGGGTGCATACCAGTAACATAAACATTACACTATGTAGGCCTATATTTTATTCGGCAAAACAACTGTTATGCCAAATTAAATATTCGGGTTGTTGTACAAGAGTTACCGTTGCTGTGCTAAAATTTTAAAATCATCAGTTCAAAGAGAAGTGCGTTATCGGCCCAACAGTTAGTTCAAATAAACGTTTTCTTCCATTCTCACAACACACACGATAAAAAAGATAGTTAGTCATAACAGCACATAGTTCATAATAAGCTTTGGTAAAGTTTGATTCCTATCAACATACATAGGTACTTACTTACCCATGTAATATGTATAGTTTTAATGGCAAAACAATTATCATCGAACATTATGTATGTTACGAGGACATAGAAACTTCCTACCGACGATTTAAAATGTAAATAAAATTTGATCCTTTCAGAAAACTACGTTCAACCATGGTCCAAACCGCTGACGCGTCTCTGGCTGTGTTGCCGAGATCTGAGATCTGACATTTCGCTCACTGAGTCCAACTCCCATCCATCGCCAGTCGTTGACCTACTGTGCCATGGTGTGCTGACCGGAAACTGTATTCATATGTAGATGAGGATTCCAGAGCGATCAGTGCGGACAGGAATAAAGGGAGAAAGAGGAATGATTCCCTCAGGACGCAGGACTGGAGCACTTCCGGTATGTAAAGCCCTTGGATACTTGATTGATCGGTAGTTAGAATTTCTATCCAGCAGATTTTCCAGGATCAAGCAAAATGAGAAAAGAATGAAGAGAAGACGTGTGAAAAGGAATTATTCGAGGAACGTTTTTTAATTGCAATAATAAATATTCAACAGTGCACCCTAATCTCCATTTAAAACTAGACCTACTTAGCCAATTGGCTCGTGATTTAAAAGGGTAAATTACCCTAAAACGCCATTAACGCCATTTAATAACTCAACAAAAATAGAAACATGAAATATTCACTACCAACAGAAATGAGGGTCCTTTCGGGCATTTCTACAAAGCTGTCCAGCTAAAGATTTTGATAGTCATAGTACTCAATTAAAAGAGATTAACTTTAATTCCATGAAAAATTCTATGAAAAACCAGAGATTTAAAATATTTACAAAAACAATTTTGGGTAATTTGGCAATTTCTACCAGCAAGTTCAGCTAAAGCTGAAGGCTTCGACTTTTTTAGCATAAACGACTTATTACGTGTTGAAGCTAATAGTGTCAATTGTTCATACTAAAATTTTCCATTTTTTTTACAAAAGCCATAAATCATTAAATATTTAACAACTTAAATCGGGGCCTTTCTTGGGATTTCTACAAGTAATACAAGTCACAAGTTCAGCTAAAGCTTGCAGATTCAATTTTTTGAAGTAAACTACTTTACGTGAAACTGTTTCCGTGGTACTGTTTACGTTGATAGTGTTAGATTATGTTAGTGGTAGTGATAGTTCAATTATTAATGGTGAAATTAAAAATAAGTTCATATGATTATTCAGCACTACTTAGAAAAAATCCAAGACGAAAAATAAAATTACGTTACTAATAAAACTATGTTATGACTATTTTCAGATCTAAATAATAAAGCTAAGGCTGCGTTTACATTAGAGGCACGCTTGGGCAAGTAAAATGGTGGCGCACGCTTGGCCAAGCTTGCCCTTTGAAACAAAATTGTAGCAGATTACTGGAAACCGGTGGCGACTTGACCAGTGGTGGTTACAGTGCTCGCCACTAGCAAGCGCACGCTGGGACAAGCTTGCGCTTCTCAAATCACGAAACAAAAATATTTGTTTCTACAAGCAAGCGTGCCTCAGTTTGTTGTGGTTCACCGACACAGTAGCATCGGTTGTGTCTGTTGGTAAAGTGTTTATAGTTGTTCAGCATGGATACGGAGGTGTTGATTGATGCTGTTCGCGCAAGAAGACCAATTATATAGGATAAATTAGTTTCAGGCTACAACCAGGGGTTCCCATTGCCTAATTAATGATTGTAATCCATGTATTTTTCCACTAGATTTTAGTGATTAATTTGATTTCTTGAACAGTGGAAAAAGAAGGATTTGAACTTTTAAGAGACCGTAAGCCGCACACCTATCAATGAAAAATATCAGTTTTTAGATAAACCTTCTCTTAAGGGCACATGCCTTTGTTAAAGGGTTGTTTTTAAATCACAATTTAAAATATTACAAATAAGTCAGCGGGAACATTTGATTTTACTAATATATGTTTATTTATTTTTTCACTTCCTAGTTAACTTTTAAATACTTATAGATTGTCTATATATCTATTTTTCGGAAAAGTTATTAGTTTTGATTCTGCCTCACAGCTTATTGATTACCCCCAATCCAATGTCCAATCCAATCTTGGCATTACATAAGAGTTCTTCATTAAAATGAGCGATAAGTAAAATTGAGCTTTACCACTATGATCTCTGGTAAGTGTGTTGTAACTAAGTAAATAAAAAACGCATTATTCTTTTCTTTATTCTCAACCCGTTGGGGAGCAAGCTGGCGTAGTGGTTAGAGCGCGGGACTTCAGTCCCTGAGGTCCCGGGTTCGATCCCCGCCAAGTCACCAATGGATTTTTATCTAAGTGATGATGCCGCAACCATGCGCAACCCCTAGGTCTAGCCCTGGGTCTAGCCTGAAGTAATGTGAAAAACAATCCCAGGCTCGTGCCTAGCGTCCTTAGGACAAAAAAATTCTCAACTTGTAGCGGAGCACGGACAGAGCAACTAGTTGAATTTTATTAAAACCAATGTTAACAGTTCTTCACGAAGACTTTATTTATTAATTTATATTGATATCATTATCGTTGCGATACCATGGTTTTACGTCAGCATTGGACCAAAGTATTATTCTGAATGGGAGGATACTCCGAAGGTAGAGGAGAGAAGAGGATCCGCTTAAACCCACAAGAGGAGGACGATTAGCCGGCAGTCACGAAAACGCGGGAATGTTCGCGTCCGCGCGGTGAAGCGAGTCCAACATTCCGCGCATGCGATGTACTAGAGCCTGCGCAGTAGACGCGCCGCACTCGACTTTAAATATACACATCGAGCATGCAATAGAACTCCTATCTACTACAGAAACAAAGTTCTGGGTGAGATCTTTTCAAAGAGCCTGTAAAGTAGGGATGTTTTGAAACGAATATAATTTGTTATTTACAATTTATGGGTGTAAATGCATGTTATAAGACTTTCTTATAAATAGCTGACTCAATGTTATAGTTGTTTGTAGATTAAAATTGTTCTTCTTAATAAGGCCTACATTAAACACTACCACTGAATAATGTCAACACAACCAAAAACCAAATAAAACATTAAATGAAAATGCATTGAATTGAAGTGCACCTTTGCAGTGATTTTGCTTTTGCAATAACAAAGTCAATACTGTACATCACTGTTTCTCTAACTACAAAAAACCTATCTAAAAATATGTAAAAATACAATTTTTATTACAAGAGCACAATCAAACAATTCGATAATTCTGTGTTAATCTAATACTGGGAATAATTCCTGAAAACTTAAACCATAGGATTTTTTAAGCCTGATACTTTTTTCTTTACCTGCAACAAAACCAACAGTCTACCACTTTAGGCCAAGTTTTCTACGTAATAGTGACTAACATAAGAAAGAGCGTTTCTCAAAATAGTAATTCCAATCTCAAGCGACCTAAAGAAATTACCCTTCTCAACATTCTCAATTCATCGGTTACTCCGACCGATTCAGATGTCCATTTACAATCGT